TCCCGAAATCAGTTCCGAGAATCCCGAAATAGGCCCGAAAGGCCCAAAATCCGAAAATAGGTCCCAAAAATTCCGAATTAACTCTCGAAATCCCAAAATTCCTAATTAATCCCAAGAATGGATAAATAGTCCCGAAAGTCCCAAAAATCCGAAATTAGTTCCAAAAATGAAATGGTTCCGAAAGTCTCAAAAATCCAAAAAGACCCAAAAAAAAACGATATACTCAAAAGTCCCAAAAGTCCCAAAAATACCGAAATATATTCCGAGAAATAATCCAGAAAGTCCGAAAAATCCTGAAATAGTTCCGAAAGTCCCATAGTTCCTAAATTAGTCCGGAAAATCCCGAAATGGTCCCGAAGGTCCCAAAATTCCAAAACAAAGTCCCAAAAATCCCGAAATACGCCTGAAAATCGAAATTATTCCTGAGAATCCCGAAGTAGTCCAAAATTCCTAAAAATCTGGAAACTATCCCGAAAGTCCCGAAATTACTCCCGACAATCTCGAAATAGGCCCGAAAGTTCCAAAAATCCTAAATAAGTCCCAGAGATCTGAAAATAGTCTTGAAAGTCCCAAAAATACCTAAATTACTCCCGATAATCCCGAAATAAACCCGAGAGCCCCAAAAATCCCTAAATAGTCCCGAAAGTCCCAACAGTCCCGAAATTATTCCGGAGAATCCCGAAAACCCCATAAATCCGAAATTAGTCCCAAAAATCTGGAAATAGTCCGGAAAGTCCGAAAAACTTGAAATTAGTCTTAAACATCCAAAAATAGTCCAGGAGTCCCAAAAATCCCGAAAATTCCGAAATATTCCCGAAAGTCCCGCTATTAACTCCGCGAATCTCGAAAGTCCCAAAAATCCCGAAACTAGTTCCAAAAATCCCTAAATATTTTTAAAGTCGTTTCGAAAATCCCGATATTAGTCCCGAATCCGGGAATCCCTAAAGAATTACGAAATAGCTTCGAAGATCCCAAAATAGTCCCGAAAACCCCGAAATAGTCTTGAAAATCCTGATTTAGTTTGACGAATCTCTCAAATGCAGAAACAGTTCCCAAATTGAGGTGTGGTGAGTTTAGGTGAGGTGTGGTGAGAACGGGTGTGATGAGTTAAGATTTGGCGGATTTTGGTGTACCAGTAGGAGGTGTGGTGAGTGTAGGTGAGGTGTGGTGAGTTTGTATGTGGTGAGTTGATTTGAGGAGAGGTGAAGTGAGTTGTGGTAAATTAAGTTGAGGTGAGTGTAAGGTGAGGTGTTAATTCTCTAAATTTCACCTAAATTATACAGTATTTAGTGTGAAAGTATTTAGCCATCGACTAAATACCTTGGTACTTTAGTGAAAGTATTTTGCATCCTCAAGGTACATGAGTACTTTGGACCAGAGTATTTAGCGCCTACTAAATACTTTCGTCTTTTGTACTTTGATATCTAGCAGCTCCTAAATACTCAAGTTTTTCCTACTTTAATATCTAAATACTTTTTACTTGAGTATTTACTTGAGTATTTAGCACCACCTAAATACCTAAGTATTGTTTACTTGGGTATTTAGCAGCTCCTAAATACCTAAGTAAATAGTACTTGGGTATTTAGCAGCTCCTAAATACCCAAGTTCTTTTTACTTGAATATTTAGTCATCTCAAAATACTAAGTATTTGTGTATTTAGTACCCAAAGTGGTACTTTAAGTACAAAAGTATTTAGGTGTGCCCATCACTGATTTACATATGTATATGGGAGACCAAATTTTTGAAAGAGCTAAGCCTGTGATGCTTTTCAACCTTTTTTCAAACGGCATAATTTTGTATTTCCTATGAAGTATCAGATTTTTAGATAGCACAGAGAGATATTTAGCATTTTTCTTCATAATAAGGAACAATTATCTTTATTTTAATCTTTGTCTCATTCTTAATTTTAATCATTATCATTATCATAATAATAACCGAGAGCATAATTGAAGGGGTTAGAATCATAACAGTCTAAGTGACATTTTTTGAAAATATAAGTTATACCCATATTTGTATAGTAAAATATAGTATTTATTTGGTGACAAAGAGTAATAGTTCTTTGAATTCGTTAATTAACCTGCATTCATTTAGACAAAAATCATTTCAAATACATTTACTCAGAATTTATGTACAATAAGTAATCAACTTTAACCTAAATTATCTCAGAAAATCTACTTAGATCCTCTTGATTCTAACCCCTTCAATTTTAGTGCAAAAATGCCCAGCGCTGCTTTGCATTTACACCCACTCTAGCGCAAAGAAGTTTCACTTCAAAAATGTTATTTAATACATATGTATATTTACTATGAGGGAATCGGGATTGGGCACGTACACAAAATTTGTAATGCAATGAGCTTTTCATTACCACTATTCGAGTAGTGGTAGTGAAAACAATTTGTCATTAGGTGTGTACGCGTATTAAGAGGACAAAATTCTCCAGCAGCAAAAGTTCCGAGAATTTAGCAGCGTTCCCTCTCAAAGAGACGAAATATCAACAGAAGTACGAGAACGCAAAATTTGCAAAAACTTGCAACCTTCGAAACAGCTGATCACTTGCACAGTTGCCACTGGTGATTGGTACGTTTTCCCCCGGTTTGGCATTTTATACAATTGAATAGTTTTCGATAAGAAAAATCTTTTTAAAATACAAATTAATTATATGAATAAGTTATTTTTCTCATAATTATTTGTGCTATCACATGGTGACGCATTCAAAAACAAGAGTATCTCCTCCAAACACCCATCATTGATCCAAAAACAATGTAATAGATATAGCACAGATGTAGTTTTAAAATTATAAAATTTTCATTTCAACAATCAACCTACCAAACCGAAAACTTCAGCAAAACAACATTTCAGCATGCTGCATTTGAATCTATTTTGTTATATTTAAAGGTAAATTATGGTACAAACGAAAAATGTCATACGGCAACCATAGTCAGCACAGACTAAAGTCAACAAACTGGAGATTAATAGCAAATTAGCGAAAAATAAACACAACCAACGTTGTGCATATTAAATTTACACACTTTTCCGTTGTATACTAGCATTAATAATAAAATTTGCAATAAATAACTCAAAAAGGCCATATTTTCTTTTGTTTATTTACAAACATGTGTTTGTGATCAGCTGAGTTTCTAACTTGCAAGTTTTAGCTGGGAAAAATTTTTCCAGCAGAAATTTGCAGCTCTCTTTCACATTTTGCTCTCTCAATTTCCCCTACTTTGCAAGTTTTTTTGGGTACGAGAACGCAAAACCAGTAAAAGTTTTCTAAAATTTTAGATAGTTGGGCGTACGAGTACATTCCTATTACCGCAAATCATACAGTGGTAGTGAAATTTTTTTCACTCCCACTAAGCACCTAGTGGTAGTGACAAATTTGTTAACTACCACTAAGCACTTATTGGTAGTGAAATTTGAAATGCACTACCACTAAAGCCCTAGTAGTAGGAAATTTCGATTTAGTGCAGTTTGCCTAACCCTTGAGGAACATAAAAATTACTGTGATCTTTACATACCCTAGGACGTGTTAATGCGAAAATCGTTTCCAATTAAATACGTGTGTATGTACATTAGGGCGGGTCAGTTCGTATGGAAGATTTTTTCAACGCGTATAGCACAAAAAGATTGTACGTGTAATTCTAAGCAAATTTGCATGGGTCTAAAATCAATTTGGAGTTAGCCAAATTGCGAAAATATGTTTCTTAACATTTTGCTGTAGTGTCGTAAAGAAGTGCTTAAATTTTGTAGAAAAACATGCTATAAGAGATTTTTTGGTATAGGGAATCCATTTTTGCACTTATATTTTTCTTAAAACTTCCACCAGATAGCGCAACAGTGAACATTTTCACATTTTCGGCAAATTCCAAATTGATTTTAGACCTAGGGTTTCTTCGGCAAATTTGCTTAGAATTACATGTAGAACTACCTATGCTATACGCAGATAGTAAAAACATTGGCCCACCGTTTTTCTTTGAATAGAGACCGACCCGATTTAACGTGTACATATATTAGATATGTATTCATATGTACAGACATACTTAGCCGTTTTCGTAAAATTCTAGGCTAATGTCGCATGTTAGTATTGCAATTGTTTTTTATGTGACACATTTCTCAAATAAACAATTTGAAAAAAACAGATTTGATATAATTTTAGCTTACAACTATGCAAAAACAACAACATCGCTGACCTAACTAGTATAAAAGCGAATTCAAATTGTTTTCAGCCAAATAGTCACACATTAAAGACGCGTAAGGTTATAGCGAAACACATAAGCTTTTGAACTTATAAATGTATGTACATATGCACACATATGTATGTAAATTTGAACCATAAATTATAAATTGGATTGGCAATATGTTTAGAATCAGAGCAGCTGTCATTTTCGTCGGCGTGATTGTGCTCAACGCATTTATCAGTGTAAGTGAACGGAATTGTTTAAGTGATATCTACCATAAGTAAAGTATGTATGTTCATCTGAACTAAACCAAAAAAAAAAAAAAAATCTTTGAAAAAAGTTCACAAATACAATAAAAAAAATTCGAAAGCTTACAAAATCTAAAAGTGCGGTTAAACATGGCAATGCAAGCCCCTTTTCTACACATTTTGCTGTCAAAATGCGAAACCGAAAGTACCTCTACTTTCACGTGTAAACATCCATAAAATCCTTTTTACAAATTTGCAGACTTTTGGAAAGAGAAAATCGGATGGTTTAACTGAAACTGAAATTACGTAAATCGCTTTTGAGAAATAATTTCAACTTGCACGTGCTGCACTAGCAATTTCCATTTTTGCAGCAAGTGCTGTCAAAAACTTTGAGTGTTGCCGTGTGCCACGATTTTTAGCGAACTATTTAAAAATTAAAGCAAATTTGGCTATAATTAATTTTGTTATAATCATAAAAATATTTGGTAAAGCAGTTCAAAGTGGAAATTTCTGCATTCACCGTGAAACAGACCGAAAGTTGTATCGGAAAGGTCGATTTTCAGAAATTAAAACTGCTTTCCGAAGTCACTTCACGTGCAAGGTGTAACTGCTCCTGCAATCAATTTTGGAAATGCTTGAGTTTGACTGACTTTTTGCACTTGCCATGTCTTACAGCTACTTAATTCGTTTATGTACCTTATTATGTGAAAATTTAATCAAATAAATGTAAAGAGCACATTAGTTTTACCACAATATTTTGAATTAAGGCACTGCAGATGCTTACGAAAGTCCCTATCTAATCTAAATTTCCTACGATCCCTGTAAACCCGTTACCAACAGGCAAACAAAGTTCTTTGCGCTCGCCGCACTGTTCTACCTCGTCCGTATCCAAACAGCAGATAGTTTTTAACCGACTTCAAAAAAAGGAGGAGGTTATCAGTTCGTCGGCATATTTTTATTTTTTTTATGTATGTTAATTCTTTTTGCATGGGAGAGGTAGTGTCTCAGAGGAGGCCCATACTAATCTGGTTTAGATCCGTTCATTGGATCATGAAATATATATATATATATTTTTTTTTTTTAAGTCCTTTTTTGTTTTGCTAAAAATTACTTCTTATAAAAGCGTTTCGGCTATCGGAACCGTTGGAAAAGAAATCAATTTCGAATTGCAAAACGATGCTAATAATTTATACCAAATTTAAAGTAAGAGTACAGTTTTATATCAAATTTAAAAAAACTTCATACCCACAAATTTTATTTTTTATTAATAAGGCCAATAGAGTGAACTGTACCTTTATAAAAAAAAAAATTTAAAAATTTTATATGTAAAATATTATGAATACTGATAACAAGATGTTGGCGGTTTAATTTTCTGAGCACAAGTGTACATTGTGGACTCCATATTCTGTCATAATAAAAAATTTTCGTAATAAAAACGGTTTACTATCCAAATTAATGACCTTTATTTATACTTAGATATATACAAATGTATAAAAATGTATAAAAATTTTCAATTGGCGTCAGTTAGCACAGAAGAGAAATGACTGGCGTGCTGTTTTGGACTCGGCCAAAATCGCTTAGGCGGTTACAGCGCCAATTAAGAAGAAGAAGATATAAAAATGTGGGCATGGAACTTGTCCAACCCAGGCCGAAGGTTTCTCAAAAAACTATTGGGTTTGAATGAATTCGTTTCGAGTTCACCCGAACGACTTTACCAGACCGACGTCGCAACGAATTCGATTCGATGAGAACAAATCGGCGTCGGAACGACGTTACATTTTGTATGGAAATAACGACTTCGTTTCGACGTCGTTTCGAGTTCACCCAAATGACTGCGCCGGAGCGACGTCCTAACGACGTCGTTTCGAACTCGTCTTCGCCCTGTGGCAAATTGGGAAGTATGTACATGATAAAGGCAGGTTGCAAGTTCAACTCAACAACTTTCAGCTACTATACGTGCTTCTCTAAAACCTTCTTGTATTTGTTGTGGATATTATTTTTGTTTTTGGGGTATGTTATGTCCAACGAGGCGTGAAATTGTATTTAACTTTTTGTATACATTTGAGGCTGTTATAAGTTGCTTTTGCTGGTTGCCAACCAGCAGTCAAGCTTGATACATATGTCACGAAGAAGAAGACAAAAAGATGCGGAAAATGGCGGGAATTGGTACAAAATAGCTTTTCTTTATGATCTTCCAGCAGAGAACCTTGTATTGTCTTTTTTCATTTTTTTGTTTGCCTTTCCATTTTAAGTTATCTGCATTTTGCAGCAGATATATTTTACGGAAACTCTGTGAATTTATTTCACTTTTCTATGTGAACTTGATGCCTTATAATAAAACAAAGAACTACGAATAGAAGCAAAGCAAAAACTACAACAAAAATTATGGCTTTATTATAAAAAAAATCCGAAATTCCGGGTGAGGCACGTACGAATTTTTATATGAAAAAGAGTGGCACATATTAAAGATTAGTTATTCAAAAATATAAGAAGCCAAGTAGGAGTTCAATTCACTCACTTTTCATCTTAGGCACTCTCTCTCTTATATAGATGAAAATGCTTAGCACATTCAGCAAACAAAATTATTAAAAATCAACGCGATTTCCGATCGTCTTGAAATTTTCACTTTTACCTACTTAAATTTAAAGGGCTCTTAAACTGCATACCTAAAATTTTTCTGAAAATTATGAACAAAAAGTTTAAAATCTTTGGGTGTAATTGTTAAAGTTTGTTTGTGGAAACGAAAATGCAATTATGGTAAAAATTTGCAATGAAGTTCTAACACTGTTTAACAAACACCTAACACAATTTCAACTTCTGTAATTAAATATAGCAACTTTTAACTTTTTTTGTCACGGGTGGGACAAAACCAAAACTGCTTCATAATAAGTCATAATATAGATAAAGGACTCACACAATTTAATATACACTTAGGTCTTTTTTTATACGGTACATGCGTTCAACAGAAAGCTGCATAAAAAACCGCATAAAAAAGTTCTTTACAGGGGATGCATTTTCAAAAAACGCATAAATTCAGATACTCCATATAAAAAATTCTAGAAATGCTCATAAAAAAAGCAAAAACATAATTTATTTCTTCACTTCAAAACTTATTATTCCATGTAAGACTGAACTTAATGAAAAAAATAAAATGTTGTCTGTATTTTAACCAAAAAAAAATACCACAATAAATACATGAATCATATAAGAATACAAAGACAAATTATTTATGTGAAGCATTGTCTCTTACACGCTGAAAAAAAGTAATAAAAATTCTCAAAATAGCAAAATCGCTACAGCGAAAAAATGGTTTGAAAACCCGCATAAATTCAGATCCGCATAAAAAGAGACCTAAGTGTATAACACAATTTTATTAAAAGAGTTCTACCATAAATTTTTCTTACCAAACACTTGAATTATGAATGGCAAATTACACTGGATCACAAATTTTAGTTTGGTTTTCGCTCTCCAGATGCCACTACCCAATTTCTATGTATAATTGCTCGGTGATTCCGAAAATCGGGTTATTTTTTTTTGGATACGTTTTTGAGATATTTGCAAATTGGCGTTATTCAGCTTAAAGCAAAAATTGATTCCTTTTAATCACGTATATCTTACGAACCAATTTAAGAATCTTACTATAAAATACGTCAAATGAAAGCTAATGACATTCTTCATAAATCATATATACACCACTTTCCGATTTGACTGATATTTTCTGACAAATTAATTAATCATTCCAGTTTTTTTTTATTTTTTAATGAAAAAATGAATGATATGTTTATATAATAAAAATAATAAGCTCCTCCCATCCCCTCTCCTTCACGCTCCGTTAACTTTGAGTAATGTGTTTTTTATTTTTTTATTTCAAAAAATTATACCTGAAAACACGAATTATAAATTGAGATAAAAAAGAAATGATAACCAACTTTTTCAAATCCTTTGGTACTTTTTCATTATTTGACCAGCTTAATCAAATGCTCTTGGTCCGATTCACATCATCTCCAATTTTTTGGAATTTGTTGCACTGTGTAATTAGTTTATTCTAACGAGCACCAACTGACTTTATGCCCGTTTTGTATGTGTCTATATGGCCATCTACGGCATTTTGTATTAACCTTACGACCATTTTGAAAAAATAATAGCAATAAAATGCCGCTAGTTAACTATTTAAAAATTAAAGCTTTCAAATTCAAAGCTTCGCCCATAAATTAGAACATAAACAAGTTACGGATGGATATTTTATGTTAAGCCAAAAGCGGAAATATTTTGTTTTTGTATTTTCTTTTTCAACTGTTTAACAGTTCGCCGCCTAAAATGGCACATCAAAAAAAATGCATGCAAACAAAAATGTTTGCGTTCATTTATTTTTAAGAAAAACAAAAACGAGACTCTGACAAGCCTGATTCTCTCACCGCGCTCAATTTTCATAAGGCCGTAAATTAAGAATCTAAAATCTATAGTTTCTTAAGTTGCTTACGGTATGTTAAGTTTTGACTAACCGCCAACACAGTTCCTCATACAACAGATTGGCCAAAATATTAAGTTAAGTTACTGAAATTAAGTCTAGACTAACTGAGCTTTAATGCTATTGTTATTGACTCTAATTCATTCGTGTATGTACATATGTATGTATTACCTTTAGTCGAATATTCTTTACAAGCCTCTATATATATATGTACATGTTTTAACACAACAAAAGCTTCATATTTTCATTTCGCCCTCTTCTCATCTTAACAGAGTACTGCATCAGCCATCCCAGCACCCTTAACCACCGCTTACGAGGAACCTGTGCGCCGCCTGCATAAGGCAAACAAATTCTGCGCAAAAGAGATTTCTCTTCCATTGGCGGAGGACATGGATAACGAGCATATAGCCGGTGCCTATATACGTTGCATGGCCACCAATATGGGTTTATGGAACGACGGTGGAGGTTATAATGCCAAACGAGTAGCGAAATTTTTCATCAAACAACGCAATGAGAACGAAGTAATGACTGTAGTTGAGTACTGTAATCAACAATATCAGCAAACAGATGTGGATTTATGGGCTTTTCAAGCTTATCGTTGTGCGACAGCGGGACGTATGGGCACTTGGTTGGGAGAGTATATGCTGAGTGCGAAACTATAAAAAAATTTTGAATTAAAACAAAAGACATATTTTAAATTTGCAAACTAAGTTTATTTTAAGCACATTGTATTACTATTTGTAGATGTAATTTAAATTATATCAGTTAATAAAGTTGGCATTTGATTTCGCCAAAGTATAAACAGATATTCAAAACTTTTGCTTTTCTTTAATTTCTACTACTCGTAGGTATATAAATGCATATGTACATAAATACATACATACATACATACATACATATGTATGCATACGCATGCAGCTCAACCGAGATGATTTGTCGTTTTTGTGTCTTGTAACTTCCGTCCAACATCCTCCTTGAACCATTGACCCACGCGACTATTCAGCACACATTTGAATGCATTGAAACACCACTTAAGTGTCGGCTCATTTTGTGCATTTCGATTGCAGTCGCTCAATATTGGCACCAGTACTTCCGTATTCGCTTTATCGCGATAAAGCGCCGCTATGTGCTCTACATTGAAACCGGTGCGATCATTCCACAGCTTTAGCTCTGTCCAAATGCAATGTACATATCGATGCACTGGCTCTTCGTTGGGGTAATCAAAGTTGTCGAAGCGACGCTGATAGCTAGCCGGCAAGCGTTCACGTTCGTAACAATGTTCACTGGCAGTCAAGAAATCATCCTCAGTTTTCTCCTCGAAGTCGGCGCTGATCTGCCCATACATTTTGGAAATTATAAGCAATATTTAATTAAGTTATTTATATGTATTTAGGTACAATAACAATGCATATACATATGTACCTGTAGCTATGTATACTTACAGGCATGCAAAATGTAAACAAGAATATAATATAAGCAAGCGTTGTGCGCTTCATTGCTTTTGAAAGTGTCACGGTTTAAAATGCAACTGAGAAGAATGAAACATTCGCCCTAGTCGTTGGACGCTTAATTCGCAAACAATATGTACATATGTATGTAGTCTCTGAACACTTGGGCGCAATTCACACTATGTATGCTAAGTCGGGTACTTTAATCGCAGAGCTAAAAATAAACTAAAGCGCTACTTTTCAATAAGGCGGTAGATTAGATTGCGTTGTACATATGTATGTATGTACATATTTAGCGCTAAATAGTTATATAATAAGTAATTATTAAGCAAAAAACAAATCCGACTTCATATCCAATTATCGGATCTAAACAAAACTAGTATGTGATCACCCCTGAGGTACCACCTTTCTGATGAAAAAAGAATTATCGAAATCGGTTAAAATAAAAAATATTCCGACGAACTGATAACGTCCTCCTTTTTTGGAAGTCGGTTAAAAATATATTAAAATTATTTTTAAGTTAAATCAATTATTACACTACGAGTATCGATGGAAACGGTTTTGAAATGGCTTTATTTCTTAATTATATGACATCTGTGTCTAAAAGCAAGTTCGACTTAAATAAAGACAGAAAATTTAAATGCATATCCTGATATGGATGCTTAAAAATATTTTGCAGCGGGTTGCCACCTTATTAAAAAGTTAGATTGAATATAAGCAATATGTTGAATAAATTACTTCAATATGAATATAAATCAAAATTGCTTGGAATAAACTTTATTTCCAAACTACATGTAGGAGGGTTGCCACTTGATTTTATATTAAAATTCAATTTGAATTGAGAGTATTAGTTAATTTAAATATGTATCAAAATACAAGTGTCAGACGAAAAATATTTAATGAGGTTTTGGTTTAAAAATAATTTGAACAGGATTGCCATCTGTTTGAAAAGTCGAATTAAATTAAATTTTTTGATATATTGAAATATTGGCGTCAAACAGGAGTATTAGGAGATATCTACTCTAAGCATTTATAACATTTATGTCGTTAATTTATGTATGGGACTATCTGTGAGGTAATACCCTTCCTTTAAAAAAATAATTATAGAAATCGGTTTGACGTGGTCCAAAGCTATGCGGTGACATACATACAAAAATATATATTCCGATGAATTGATAACCTTCTCCTTTTAGTGAAGTCGGTTAAAAATTAATACGAATTTCTGCAGTATGAAAGGAAATAAATATGAATCGAAGTACTGATACACGTCATGGCATATATCTATTTAAAAACTGATGGTACATAAGTATGATTGAAGTTAATGTGGATCTGCTTCTCTATTGCTAAGTATTAATATTTTGCAATTCCTGTTGATTTATTAAATTCAATTCAATACATACATAATTTAACATACATAACATACATAATTTAACTTAAATGTGATCTTAATAATACGTATTCTACGTTTAAGTTTAGCGGCTGTGGCTCCGACACAGCCCGCAGGTCAAGACGAAGGCGCTGGACTGATCCTTTTTTTGCCCGCTCGGAATAGACCTGTCGAAAACTGGACCGGACGTTTAATATAAAAATAAAATAAAATACATTCACAACAAAAATGTTTTTTTTTTCATTTGTATACTTCTTGGCTACGGTTACTATATATGCGTATTCTAACGAAATTTTGTTCTGACGACTTTTTCGGAACAAAAAAATACGAAACAATTAAACAAACAAGTGCGTATACATATGTACGTATAACATTGTGATTTGTGAACATACATATGTATGTAGATAGTAGACTGCATCACCAAAAAAAAAATTGCCGTTCTTCCGCCGGAATTACAAAATGTATTGTATTTTAAGACGTCCACCAAAATATTTCAGTAAAATATTAAGATTTAAGCGAGCTGGACCGATTTGGAAATACCTCCCAAAATGGAGTTGTTTATGAATAAAAATTGTTTCTTAAAGAACTTTTTGAAAAAAGTCCCCTCAGATGACAGAACAGATTGGGCTTCAAAAATCTGCATGAAAATATTTAAAAATCTTTACAGCGGAATCGTATTAAAGAGATTTTTGATACTGTTTTTTTACTTTTTTCAAAGATTGATTTACGAAAAACTTAAATAACTGGCCCCAAACTATTTAGACTTATGGGGTCTCGGTAGAAAGGTATTTTCCCACCATTTTTATTTATGTGCACAAAAAGTCATTTTATAACTCCAATGGAAAAACAGTACCGATTTTTTCTTGTATGGGGAGTCATGCAGTCTAATATGTAGGCATGAGAGCCAGAGAAGCCTCGGTTTATAATCGTTTTGATTCCAGTAATGCATTGAAAGCTACACCTACATTTTTTTTAATGTCAAGTAAGCTGAAGGTCTCATATCCTCATATTTCTATGTACTTAAGTACACATATGTATAAAAAGCGTGTTATGTTAAGAAGATTTATATGTAATGAAGTACTTAAGCGATGATTAAAGTATTTAAAAAGTGCAAAAACGTCAAAAACACAGGAAACCCGTTGTTCTCGCATTTAAATAAAAACGGTATGGTAAATATTATACAGTACTTAAATGCGGCCGATCATGAAAAAATAGGTGTTATTAGAAAAGGGGGTGTGGCACCTCCCACACCAACTCATAGATATATATGATCTGATATTTAGAAGGGAGGGCTTTGCAACTTCCATAGAAACTTGAGGTTTTATAATAACATATATCTGAATTTATTTGTGGTAGAATACAGCCCCTTTTCTGCAGCAACAAGGCGGCCAATTTTCCGAAAATCACAAGTACCCTCACCTGTAAAAATTTTAAAAATGTTAGCTTGCGACCATCCCCTAAGCAACTGTTCTAGAGATATACAAAAAATGAAACTCTCACAGATGTGAACATACTGAGTGGTGTTGTATAGAGTATTTCCAGACAACACCACTCTGTGACTGCCAAAATCCACCAATCCACTATGGGAATAATGTTCATATTTTTGACATAAAGTGCATTTTTGTTTTGGTTTTTATACCTTTCATGAGCATGAAATGGTATTATAACTTTGGTCCGATGTTTGTAAGTTCCAGAATAAAAAGAGATAGACCCATTAAAATGTATACTTATATGATCAGAACGTCGAGCTGAGTCGATTAAGCCATGTCCGTCTGTTTGTATGCAATCTAGTCTCTCAGTTTTCGAAATATCCGGATAAAATTTGGAAGGTGGGTGTATTTTTATAATGTATTAATCATTTGTCGGAACCGGAAGAATCGGACCTCTATAACATATAGCTCCCATACAACTGATTGTTCAGATATGAGATTTTTCGTTATAACTTCTCCATTTATGCAGCTACGAACATGAAATTTTGCAGTACTTGCACCCATTATCAACAGAATACTTACAGTGAAAATTACAAAGATCGGGTCACTATAACCTATAGCTCCCATACAACTGATTGTTCAGATATAAAATTTTTCGTTATAACTCCTCCTATAAATGGNTTTTCGTTATAACTTCTCCATTTATGCAGCTAGGAACAAGAAATTTTGCAGTACTTGCACCTATTATCAACAGAATACTTACATAGCTCCCATACAACTGATTGTTCAGATATAAAATTTTTCGTTATAACTCCTCCTATAAATGGAGCTAGGAACATGAAATTCCGCACTATTTTCACTCATTATTAACAGAATACTTACAGTGAAAATAACAAAGATCGGGTCACTATAACCTGCAGCCCCCATACAACTGATTGTTCAGATATAAACTTTTTCGTTATAACTCCTCCTATAAATGGAGCTAGGAACATGAAATTCCGCACTATTTTCACTCATTATTAACAGAATACTTACAGTGAAAATAACAAGGATCGGGTGACTATAACATATTTGTATCTCCCATACATCTGATTGTTTAGATATGGGATTTTACTGCAAAACTCCTTTATTTGAACAGCTAAAACCGATAAATTTCGTAAGATATTTTATAAATAATAATACAAAGTCTACTGAGAAAATCGTCAAAATCTATGCTGTATAAGCTTTATCTCCTATGCCACTGATTGTTCAGATACCAGTTTTTGCGATATATATCCTTTATGTAGGAAACTAAACCCAATAAATTGTGCTACCGGTTTACATACCGATCACATAGCAGTGAAAATCACTTAGATTGGTGCTAATATAAGGTACATCTTCCATACCTCTGATTGTTCTGATACGATTTTTTATATCCTATATGATACCTATAGGTATGTAACTCCTCTATCGATGTATGCAGATGTATTCAAAAGCAGTAATCTGTCAAAGTAAAATTTGCAGATGTTCATGAAATGTATGAAGCCTTCGGCAT